CAAGGTACATTGATCACATCACTCCTCTGAGACCAGTCCTGCAGTGCATAGTGGGGAACTCCTACCATTGGAACAGTGGACAAGATGTTGGATCCACAGGCCCTCCACAGTGGTTGATTATTAGCAGCCATGGGGACCTTTGAAATCTAAGTGGGGTTCCTGGCGTCTCCTGCCAAAGCAACTCTAGAAGTGTTAATGTATAAGTTCCATCTTTTTCCATCTATACACCTTTCCCAGAGTCAGAGCAAAATCTATCCCTGAATACTTTACAATATGCATACATTCTACCATACTAACACATCAGTGCATGCTGTCTATGGATGTGCAAGTAGGTGGGTTAGTAGACAGCCTGGTCTATTTTATTGGCCTAGAATATGGCTTCAGAAATCCAGTACTCTCTCCCCCAAAGAACCCTGTAGCATTAGTATACACTCTCATAGATGGCTCCTCCCATGACAATGGATGAAGGAGGGGCAGGCAAGTAGACCCAGTGTACTTCCTCTGAAACTTGGGCATAGGTTATTAAGGCTAGTGTAGCCACAAACAGGGTTTCAGGCATGAGGGTCTTTCCTGCCCCTTCAACTATCTCTTGACCTTTGGTGGTTAGGACCTTTATTTGCCCCCATATCAAGGATGGGACCCTCTGGATGCAGGTCCAAGACACATGCTCCTTCTCCAGAACGACCTATGGAGTTTCAGCATGGTGGATGAGCTGGCCTGGAATCTACCTTGGCACTTCTGCATCCTGTGGAAAAACACAAGCATATCCTTGACCTAATCGAGGAAGAGGGTATCAGGAGATAGGAATCATTCCAGACTCCCATCAAATGATCTTTCCATCACAGCATTGCCTGGGGAAAGGCCTCTCTCTCCCATTGGTGCCGCACATCAGTGAATCCATCCCCTGAGACATTAAAAAAATTTAAAACAAAAATGGATAGAAAGATAATTTCCTCTTTTTATTTTTTGAATTTGATTTTTAAAAGTAGTATGGGCTCCCTCTACAGTGATCTGTCCTATGGATTATAGGGGTAAGAGTAATATGTAGTTGTGAGCAAAATGTTTTAAAGGCTGGAGGTTCTGCATGTAAAGCTGCTGTTATCAGGGGCCCTGTGAAAAACCCAAGCCCTGTCTGTTTGGGTTTGCAACAGGCAGGTCAGAGTCTAACCTTCCTTTCCCTTGTGGTCCCAGACCTGACATCCGATCATACCCTTGATTAAGCATTTGTTGAGTAACACCTGGTCTGGGCCTGTAAATATAAGCACCCATCTGAGCTAGCACATCACAGATTTACTGGAAGATTGGGCAAGAAAAAGGGTGAAAGATGCCCAAATGACCACCGTTGGTTAATCACTGCAGCATGGTAGGAATTTTGAGAGTAACTTTTGATATGCTATACCCTGCAGCAGGGTAAGGCTGTTCTCTTTTGGCCAAAACGGGGGTGGGAGGGGGAGTTGGGGGAGAGGTGGGCAGTGTCGGCCAGATAGAACAGAAACATCAGCTCCACTGTCAATTAAGCTTGTAAAAAGCTTCCCGTCTATGTATAGTTCTAACTCTGGTTGTTCTTGTCCAGTTCTCTGAAGCCAAAAGGCCTTATCTGCAGAGTCAAAGTCTCTATTTCCTTGGTTAGGTTAAAGATGGTGAATGAAAGGAAGTAAAATCAACTAGCAATGGGCGTATGAGCAGGGACAAGCAAAGTTCCTTTCTCCAGCCCAGCCCTGATTTTAATCTCTCCTGTGTAAACATTATCAATGACACCCAGGTAGGCAATCAGTCCTTTCATGGTCCAGCTGGACCTGCTCAACACTAACCCTACTGTCCCAGGTGTCAAATGCCCCCCCAGACCCCCGTGGGGACGGCGACTAGAGGAAGATTGCCCTCCAGATAGGTCCTCTTTGCTGTTTTCAAATCTAGACCAGCGCTCCCAACCACCCCCTTCTTGAGCGAGCTGACTCAGCACAGGTTGGCCGTGTTGGCAAGGACTCCCTGTAAGGAAGGGGATACCCCAGGGTTCTCTTGTGGGGGGCCCATGAGGGGCTGGTCCCTCATCCTGTTTCCCTGCAGAGGCTTGCCATCCTGGTCCGTTCTAGAGTGACATTCATTTGCCAAATGTTTCCCCCTCTGGCACCAGGGACAGATACCTGGGGGGTTGGCCTTATGTGCTGCATTTTGAAGGTGTGCCTTTGCAAAGTGCCCTCTTTGGCCACATTAGAAGCACCCCTTTTAGCAGGGCCATTCCCTATTCCCTTTCCAGTCCAGATCTGCTTATGATACAGACGGTGAGGTGGGACTCCTGCAGTGCCCCATATTGAGCGGTGGAAGTCTTGATTTCTTTCAATTCCTTAAAATTTAAAATATCATACTGCCAATTGCCTCCTTCTTGTAAGACAGGACAAAGTTGGAAATCCCCAGTATCCTGCCCCTGTTCCTTAGCAGTCAATATAGCCATTTGGACTGCATGCATAAGTGGAGGAGTCTGAATTAAGAGAAGGTGGTAATTGCCTTCCTCCTTTATCACAGGGAAGATGGCTCTCACAGGGCTGGGCATGGAGCTGGGTAAGGGGGAGGCTGTGGTGCCGGAGGACCTTTGTTTTCTTTAAAGAGAGTGTTGAAAAACTGACACAGACTTTCAGTGCCGATACTCCCACACTTGAATGGACCACCCTCTACCTCCTCATCTGATACATAGAGGAGGGTCTCAGACAGGGATTTTATAGAAACAATTTCAATCCAGTGATTGGGACCAAGACTCTCTTGAATCATGTTCCAAACAGAAAATGTTTTTTTGGGGGGGGGACAGCATGTTTTCCACTCAAGCTGCCTGCTAGAAGGGGATAGGGGAAAGATTTAGAGGAAGGGGCCAGTGCCCACCACCACAAGGGATGATCATTCTAGTAACTTAGAAAAGACCAAACTGCAAAATTCAAAGTATGGCTTCTACCGGATGCATACTGCTTTTGTTACTATGTAAAGTACAAACAACTCCCCAAATCGTAAGTTAAATCCTCCTAGGTTTGGGGTGGGGGATTATATATAGTTAAGTGCAGTTAAGAATTGGAGAAGTATTTGAATTTTCAACACAGCAAGGAACAGTACAGTATGTTAACCTCCTGGTCTCTTGTTTGTATATTATGCTTCCTTTGTCAGGAGTGTTAGTTTGCCCAGGATCAGGCATTCAAGCATCTGCACAAACTCCTATAAAGACTTTCTTTTAAATGGAAATATTGACCAGCAGAATAGTGCAGTGGAAGCATGCTGGCCCATAAACAAAAATATTCATTTTATTAACTTTGAATACAGTAGTACAAAGAGGTTGTGAATAAACATGTCAATTTTTTGTTGGATGCTTGATCAGAAAAACTCCTTTTTTCCCACCTGCATCACCAGTGGCGGCCCTCTCCTGGCCTCTGGCCCTGCCCCAGTCTGAAACCATGCCATTTACTTTCCAGTCAAGGGCAGGGGCTTGTCAGTTTTAGTACAAAAGTACTTGTCAGAGTTAGGGATGTAGTTCAGGGATAGAATGCTTGCTTAGTATGTGCAATATACAAACAAAACAACTCCAAACTCAACTAATGTATTTGTTACCTAGCAGGCACTTAGCAAGTTCTTGTAACAACAACAACTAAAAAAAGGATAATGTGAGAAACACTACACTTGCATGCTTTAGAGGTAACTGTGCCTCTGTGTGTGTCACACAGAAGACAGGAATACCATATTGCCATGGTTATGTCCCAAGCAGAATCTCCTCTAGCACTGTGTAGGAATGCTTGGAGAAAGCTAGTGGGGCATTCTGAAATCCTGGAGCCAGGAATCTAGAGGAGGTGAGCCGGCTATAAGACAGCCCTTGAAAGCAGGAGAGCTCCTAGCCTTGGCAGAGTGACTTCCTGACCATCTTTGCTTTGGGCATGGGTGGGTGCAGAATGCTGAACGACCCAATGAGGACAGGAAATGAAGGGTAATAAGTAGGCTAGCAAGACAGACTGATAATCCATTCCTCTGCACCTTTTTTGGGAATAACTGACAGCCCACCTGCTTGGTAAACCTCTTGCATGGAGTGGCCATTACCTGCCTCTCTCTGGTCCTGCAGGTTCATTTCATCTAGACATTTCTGCACAACTACTGCATGATATCTCAGTCACTCATCATTTCTCCTGTCTCTCCATTGTGCCACCATCTTAATCTACCCACCTGGTGCTAGGGATCTGGACCATGAGCCTCCAACCACATGTTGTGAATCTGCCTCTCAGACCTCTGACTCAGGCTTAGGCCACAGCTTGGCCACTATGCTTGCCCACCTTTATCAGGGAGCCTGAATCCATGTATCTTCAACAGAAGCTCAACCCTGATGTCCCCTATCCAGAGACACAGTCTCTGATTCCTTAGTTACCCATGGTCCTTTCTCTGCTTGCCCTGTTGCAGGGTTCCCCTTAATGTTTGTATGAGCAAGCTGGGATTCCTGTATGCTATGTCTGAGGACAGCAGACTCTTGTCACCCACACTCACTTCATGATGGCCCAGTTAACTGGTGATGTGATTGGTGCCAAGTGCTGGGTGTAGCTTTTTCCAGTGTCCCAGCAGCTCAGATTTTTCTATACACAGGCGATGGCCTACTATTAGGAAATCCAGCTAAAGCTCCACTTCATTCTATCCAGAAGTGAAAGCTAGAAAAGAGAAATGGAGTGAGCGGTCATTCCAGAAGAATGGACCTGAGTTCAGGGAGTGCCCAGGGATGGAGGGCAAAGAGTCCGACAGTCTAGTCTCAACAGTCGATACTAGAGCAACTTTGGTAACATGTCTGAACTGGAAGAACGCTTGAAAGGGAGACTTTGGGCTGAGGAAGAGGAATGAGGTAGAAAAGAGGAAGAAAACACTGGGAGTTCTGGTGGGAGGTTCTTTTATGTTCCCTGCAAACCACATGCTCCAGACAGGATGGTCTGTGGCCATGGGTGTTTTCAGCTTCCCTCTGTAACTACAATCTCCAGATCCTATTCTTGCCCCCCTCAGTCCAGCTGCACCAGCCTCACAGGCAAGGGTGAGGGCAGTGGGGGGTTCCACTGCATGTCTGCCCGCTGCACAGTCTGTAGTAGCTTCTGCATCTCAGCCTGAACCTGGCACAGCTTGCCTTTGTTGACAGGGCCCCATGAGAGGCCATGGAGGTACACACAGCATTCAATGGGGATAGGGTAGAGAACCCGCTTCAGCTCCATCAGCCCTGCTGTATGCTCGAGCAGGCTCAGAAGGCCAGCTTTAGAAATGGGGTTGTCAGATAGGCCTAGGGAGCTGAGCTGGGAGCAGCAGCACAGGGCTGGAAGAATGGCATTGAGGTGTGTGTCCTTTAGCCGGCAATGATTCAAGTCCAGGTGCTGCAGGGTGCCTGAGATCTTCCCCAGCAGTGTGTCTAAGGGCCCAGGGACCATGTAGGACAGATTGTTGCCACTCAGATCCAGCTTCTTCAGGGAGGTGGCATGAAGGCTCTGGGACAAGTAGTTGATGTCAGTGTCCAGAAGCGTGCAAGAGCGAATCTCCAGGGCATGCAGCGGGGCCTGTAGGCAGCTGAGAAGAAAAGTTGCACTGACTCAGGGGAAGGCCAGGCCCTTCACTGTGGACATTTGATTTGCCTATGGAGGAATCTAGTCTTAATGTTGCTTTCTCATCTAGAGAGACATTTATCAGCAAGTTGATGGCTTATGGCCTAGCTCTGCCTCAACATACCCACCGAGTCCTCTAACACCACTGCTGTGATTTGGATCTTAAATGTCTCTCAGAAGCCCATCTGTGAGAGACCTGTACCAGTTTGTGGTACTACTGGGAGGTGGTGTAACTATGAGGGGGTGTGGCCTAGTGTCAGGAAGTTTGGTCTTTGGGGATGGCCTCTTAAAGGAGACCCTGGATGCTGGCTCATTCCTCAGTCTCTGCTTCCTGAATATCATGAAGTAATATTTCTACTCCCACACCACAATTCTAAAAGCAATAGGCCAACAACCATAGACTGAACCTCTGAAACTGTGAGCTCAAATTAATCTTTCTTCCTTTGATTATCTCAAGTATTTTGTCATAGTGATGGAAAACCTAACATACTCTCCAATTCTATATTTCTCTTTGGTGAATGGGACACCCACATTGTATACATTCAAGATGACTGCTCAGGGGAGCCAATTGGAAAGAACTTGCTTGATAATATGGAATCTATAGGATGAAGCTACTAATACTCAGGCTTGGCTTTGGGGAAGCTGCCATTCAGGCTTGCATTTAATCAGCCTCAATTTACCAAATGCCCCACCAGGAAGTTTCTAGGAAATAGACATTGTGTTAGAGGAATGTCTTACGTGTACTCTGCACAGCCTCTTCACTTGCCTGTGTAGAAGCAGGCACTCTAATAGGATAGCTCTGACTTGTCTTTCTCAAGGCCTAGCACAGCATAGAGACATACCTAAAGACAACTGTGCAGTAGGTAAACGTATTCCTGAACAAAACCCACAGGAGGTTATTATTGTTTTGGTTTAAACCCTTGTCCTAGGCTCCAAGTAGGCACAACCAATACAGAATGGAGTTGCTGGTGCTAAGTGCCACATAATTGAGTTGAATTTTGAAATGGGTCAGTTTCTTTTTAATGGATTCACAGCAGTTAATCAGAAGGGACTCAGATTTTCCTGAACATGTGCAATAAAGAAGGCCTCCTCCTTCTCTCCCTTTGTCTGTCTCTTTTGGTCATTCATGGGGCTTCAACTCAGGGCCTGGGCACTGTCCTTGAGATTTTTTTGCTTAGGTCTAGAGCTCTACCACTTTGAGTCATGGCTCTACTTCCGGTTTTCTGGTGGTTAATTGGAGATGAGAGTCTCACAGCCTTTTCTGCTCAAGCTGACTTTAAACCATGATCCTTAAATCTTGGCCTCCTGGGTAGCTAGGATTAAAGAAGCCCTCTCTTAAGGGGGAAAAAACCCTAAAGACCAGCAATCTGAGTGGATATGGGAGGGCGTAACTATAATTCTAACATTCAGGAGGTTGAGGCAAGAGGATAAAGAGCTGGAGGAGGCCAGCCTGCTACATAGTGAGACCTGGTCTCAACAACAGCATCCTCACCAACAACCTCAAATTCCTAATCCTTTTTTGTTTTCTTCTTTCTCCTTTCTTTAGCTTTTTTTTTTTTAATTGGTCATGGGGCCTAAACTCTGGGCCTGGGCACTGTCCCTCAGCTCTTCAGCTCAAGGTTAGTGCTCTACTACTTGAGCCATAGCACCACTTCTGGCCTTTCCTGTTTGTGGTGCTGAGGAATTGAACCCAGGGCCTCACGCATGAGGGGCAAGCACTCTACCATTGAGCTACCTTCCCAGCCCTCTTTAGCACTTTTGTGCCTGTTCACCTTATTGGAAATCTTGTTCTAGTTTACAGATTTCTATTTAAACAATTTGTGAATCAATTACAATTTAAGCTAAATTTTGTTGTATTTTTTTTAACAATATGAATCTTTCCCACCCAGTCACCAGCTGCATCCAACCATATATAGGTTTTCAGGCTGCACCCTGGAGTCCATGAGAATGGACTCACTTCCTGTTATGCTCCCTGCCCTGACTTGACTTGGGGGCTATCCTGGGAACATGGATATCTAGAGGCTTCTGCCCACCTGAGTACTTGCTGTAAGTTGCCTGAAAGATAGGAATAAGACAAGTGGAGCTTCCGGAGGTGGCTCAGCTTGCTGAGCTGGGAGAGGAAGTAGCTGGAGGAGCCCTCACCATCTGGAGAAAAGGACCAGTGGTAATAGGCCAGCTTGAGGCTGTGCAGGGTGCAGATCCTCCCCAGCTGTGTGGCAAATAGTCTCTGCTCAGATAGTGCCCGGAACCAGTCGAATACCTCCAGCTCCTGGATGAAGTTCAGCTCCAGCGCCTTGAGGATCCCTATTAGGCTGTTGAAAGGCATTTCCTCAATATGCAGCTTCCTACAGCAGAGGCGCAGAAACCCACCACTCTGTTCCACTTTTGTTAGGAGGCTTGAAAGAAATGTGTCTAATTTGAAGGGTCCTCGTAAGAAAAGATCAATGTGTAGTTCCACTGGTTCCCATGGCTGCTTTGGTCCTTTTCTTACATCTTCTCCTGGCTTGCGCCTGGCCATGGCCTGGGGTATCTGTGCCTTGACTGTTGATGGTAACCAAAATGGAAACTTGGCTAAGGCCTCAGAAACCCCTTTTCTCTGGACCTGTTCAAAGTCCAGAGTCAAATCCAGCACCCTCAGTTCCGACCTCCTGTGGTGGGGTGGGGGAAAGGGATTTGATGAGATGCTGACATTTTGGGGAGCCAGCTTAGCCCCTATTCCTCCCTAAACTGTACCATGATCCTTAGAAGATGAGAAGCCTACTCTTCAATGTCTTTTAGCTGCAACATCAAACACTTAACCCAGAAACTCACAGATTGTGTGTGTGTGTGTGTGTGTGTGTGCGCGCGTGCACGCGCGCGCCAGTCCTGGGACTTGAACTCAGGGTCTGGATGCTGTCCTTGAGCTTTTGTGCTCAAGGCTAGAGCTTTACCACTTTGAGTCACAGCTCTATTTCTGGCTTTTTTTGGTAGTTACTTGGAGATAAAGTCACCCAGATTTTCTCGCCTGGGCTGACTTTGAACCACAATCTTTAGATCTCAGCCTCTTGGGTAGCTAGGATTATAGGCGTGAGCCATTTGTGCTTGGCACACAACACACACAACACACACACACACACACACACACACACACACCCATTAACCCATAGATTTTAACATTCCATTCCCCTTAACCAGCTATCACTATCAGTTTACTCTCTCTAACTCTGTGCCCCTTACCTGAGACAGGCCCTGTGGGTAGGGAAGGCCTCCAGCCCATCCAGCACAGCCTGCACATTTTCTTGGTTGGGCCACTGCACTATCAGAGAGCCTAGCCGGAGAAAGGGGAAGGGCCAGGCTTGTACCAAGGCCGTCAGAGCCTTTTTGTGCCCCTTGGCAAAAGCGGCAGTGAATAGTGGTGGGAAGAGGTCCACTGTGAACTCTTCCAGTGAAGGTATAGCTGAGGCTTCATTGCTTAGTAGGCTGTGGGCTGCAAGTTCCAAAAGCTTGGGTATAGCTTGGTTGCTCATCTCCATGAACCTAGTGTAGAAAGGATAGAGATTCTCAGAAGACCTATTTCTCAGCACCCATCGCAGGCCAGCACAGAAGACACAAGACTTTCATATGCATCAAGGGAAGTGTAGTCCCATCCCATCCCTCTCTCTAGTCGACCCAGGCTGAAGAGCTGGGTTTGGTGTACTGAGGGGGTGTTCTAGATCTGTCCAATGTGGGAGCCACTACCCACATATGGTTATTAAGCACTTGAAATGTGGCTAGGGTGACTAAGGGATTAATTTTACATTTTATTTAACTTCAGTTAATTTAAATAGCCGCATGTGGCTAGATGCAGTCTAGAATCTATGGAAGTCTGAAATAAGAAATATTCACATTCTCACAAATGATGTAATCTATTCTTAGGGTGTTATAGCCTTGGCAACAATACTAGGCAAGAACAATACAAGGAATAACAATCATTAGGCCATCTAATTTTCAAGGCTAGATGCCAAATGTCTAAATAGTGAAATACTGGCAAATTAAAGCAATAAATATAATAAAAAGACTAAAAATCTGTGTGTCAGTGGCTCAGGAGGCTACTACTTAGGAGACTGAAATCTGAGGATTGTTGTTTGAAGCTAGCCTGGTGAGCAATGGCCATGAGACTCTTATCTCTAACTACAAAAAGCCAGAAGTGAAGCTGTGGCTCAAGAGATAGAGTGCTATCCTTGAACACAATAGCTCTGGGACAGTGCCCAGAGTTCAAGCCCTAGGACTGGCAAAAAAAAAAAAAAGTAATTAAATGCAACTGACAACATGAATGCAAGGATGGTTAATTTTAGAATACCTTCTCTGCAGTAGATTTTAAGATCCTCATGTGAAAGATAACTTTTCTATACCTGAGGAAAAGAATACCCTTATTCATGAAGATACAAGATTGTCAAGTAGACCTGAACACACAGTCCTGGCTGTTTCCCTCAGTTCAATATACTTAGTTTATACTCTTCTTTTGTCTTATTGTCTCTCTCAAGATTATCAAACCTCTTCATCAAACCTAGCATAAAAGTATTCAAGTTTAATCACTTCTTTGTATTTTTTTTGGTTATTGTTGATGGGGCTTGTTTCTCTAGACCTGGGCACTGTCCCTGAGCTTTTTCACTCAAGACTAGCACTCTACCCCTTTGAGCCACAGCTCCACTTCCAGTTTTCTGGTGGTTAATTGACAACAAGAGTCTCACAGACTTTTCCTGCCGGGGCTGGCTTCAAACAACGATCCTCATATCTCAGCCGCTTGAGTGGCTAAGATTATAGACATGAGCCACGGGCACCTGGCTACTTCTTTGGATTTTTATTTCTTTAAAGGGCTCCTCTTTCAGGGGCTGGGAAAGTGGCTTAGTGGTAGAGTGCTTGCCTTGCATGCATGAGGCCCTGGGTTCGATTCCTCAGCACCACATAAGCAAAAAGAAAAAAGCCGGAAGTGGCACTGTGGCTCAAGTGGTAGAGCGCTAACCTTGAGCTGAAGAGCTGAGGGACAGCACCCAGGCCCAGAGTTCAGGCCCCAGGACCGGACCAAATAAATAAATAAATAAATAAAAGGCTCCTCTGTCATGTAATATTTATGTTAATTTTTTGTTAGAGAGGTCTTAATGACTCTAAGATGTTTTTTCCCCCTACAACTTAGACTAACATAAATGTTGTTGTTGCTACTGTTCAATAAACTGTTCTGTCTTACAAAAAGAAAGATCAAGTACTGGATTAGAAAAAAAAGATCAAAAACCGGAAAAGAAAAAAAAACCTGCCAACAGGTGCAGATCATATGATACTTTAATAGAAAATGAAAGACAACCATAGAAAATCTTAAAGAAAAATGAGAGTTCATCAAAGTTATTGGATATAAAAGTAATATACACCCACATTCATGATGTTCTTATATTAATGTGACAATAATTTGAAAAAATGTAATTATCATCATCATAAGGTTCCAATCATAAGTACACCCCAAACTTGCTCCATAGCAAGACCCTGCCTCAAAAACCCAAGAAGGGGGAGATGTAGCTAAGTGCAAGAGTGCTTGCCAGCCAGGTACCAGTGGCGCACCCCTGTAATCCTAGCTACTCAAGAGGCTGAGATCTGAGGATTGCTGTTCAAAGCCAGCCTGTGCAGGAAAATCTGTGAGACTCTTATCTCACTTAACCACCAGAAAACCAGAAGTGGCACTGTGGCTCAAAGTGGTAGAATACTAGTTTTGAGTGAAAGAGTTTAGGGAAAGTGAATAGGCCCTGAGTTCAAGCCCTATGACAGACTAAAAGAAAAAAAAGAGTGCTTGCCTATCATGTTCAAGGCCCAGAGTTCAATCCCCAGTACTGCAGAAAAAAAGGGGGCTCTGATATGGCTCAAGCAGAAGAATGCTTGCCTAAAAAGCATGAGCACAAGCCCTAGTACTATAACAATAAAAAAGAATAGGAGGGTTGAGAGAGAAAAAAAGCTGGGAGAAAATGAGGGAGGAGGTGACTGTTCAAAAAGAAATGTATTCATTATCTGACGTATGTAACTGTAAACCCTCTGTACATCACCTTTATAATAAAAAAGAATATCAAAATTTAAACATAATAGAATAAAATAAAAAAATACATCTAAATAGGTTGAAAGGGTAGATATTGAAAAGATACAAATATTACTATACTCAGGACATTTTGGATAATCTATCTAAACAATTATAGCTTTAGCTATACAATTTAAAACTTTTTAAAAAAAAGAACCACCAAAAGAAGAATACTCAGGAAATATTAATCTTACCAGATACGTTACACAAATCAATATAATTTCCCCTCTCCTCCCCCAAGAGCTCTGCTATGAACCTGCAGCAGCAATTCTTCAGCTCTGTCTCCTGACAAATGTCAGATAGATGGTTATGGGAAAGATGGGTCTGTCAGATGCACCACCTAGGAAAGAAAACAAAACAGAGCAAAGACAAAGACAAAAGATATTGAAAAAGCTGACATCCATGAAGGTAAGGCCCATACTGACTTTTGACATGTTAACTTCTGACATAGCTATAGACTTACAAGTGAGACTAGTTGGTGCAAAAGGTGGACTATTGTATTTTAGGCTAGGGGAATGGCTCCAGTTGTAGAGTGCCTACCTAGCAAATGGGAGGCCCTGAGTTTAAAACCAAGTACTACCAAAAAGGGAAAGAAAAAGATGATCTTATGGTCAACAGATAAATGCAAAGATGCTTCATAGAACTCTTAGAGAGATACAAATCAAGACCATGAGACACCACTGTGCAACTCGTTAGAATTAGTATTATTAAAAAATCAGAAGCCTGGCGCTGGTGGCTCATGCCTGTAATCCTAGCTACTCAGGAATCTGAGATCTGAGGATTACAGTTCAAAGCCAGTCTGGTCAGGAAAGTCTGTGACACTCTTATCTCCAATAAACCACTAGAAAAACGGAAGTGGCGCTGTGGCTCAAGCGGTAGAGCACTTGCTTTGAGCTGAAGAATGCAGGGACAGCACCCAAGCCCAGAGTTCAAGCCTCATGACAGACAAAAAAATAAAAATTAAAAAAATCAGAAAAGGTATTGGTGAGAATATGGAATAACTGGAATTTCTCCACAGGCAAAGTAAAATGATGGTACTGCCATGAAAAATGGTGGGATGTTTTCTCAAAAGATTACAAATAGAGCCAGGTGCTCTAAAAAAGCCACAAGTGGCTCAAATGAGTTCTAGCCTTGAGCAAAAAAAAAAAAAAAAAAGCTTAGGGACAGTACCCAGGCCCTGAGTTAAAGCCCCACTACTGGTATACACACATACATACAAAAGTAAGTACTACTTCAATAGTTTATGAATAATTGCTGTACCCAGGTGCTGCTGGCTTATAATCATAGCTACTTAGGGGTCTGAGATCTGAGGATGGCGGCTTCAAGCCAACCCAGACTGGAAAGTCTGTGGGACTCTTAGCTCCAAATAACCACTAAAAAGCCAGAAGTGGATTTGTGGCTCAAGTGGTAGAATACTAGCCTTGAGCAGCTCCTGGGCCATGAGTTCAAGCCTTAAGATCAGCACACACACACACACACACACACACACACACAGGAATAATAGCTATCATTTAGTGATGAGTTACTATACATCAGACACTGGACTGAGGAAAGAGACATGACTCAATACATTGAATTTTCAGAGCAGCTCTCTGAGTTTAGTACTTTTCACAAGGGAAAACCAATGTACAGTGTTAACAATTTGGTAACTCTCATTTCTTCCCGCATGACTCAGCAAACGATTCCTCACTTGTAAATGCGACTAAGATACTAAAAATACTACAGACCTTGTAAATTATGTGTGCAAGAAACTGGAGGCATGGTAGCACACCAGCCATGAGCAGAAAAGCAAAGTGAGAAGTGAGGCCCTGAGTGCAAGCCCCTGTACTGGCAACACCAAAAAATGATATGTGAAGATTAAATAAAAGAGCAGTAAACTGATACTGTTTGATGCTGGATATTAGAGACACGATGGTAGGGTTAAAATGGGCTATCTCCATAGAGATTTGAGGGTCTTCAATTCCATTTTTTCCTTTTTTTTGTCTTGTCACATTTTCTGTGATCTTCAATGTGTCTGGAAAGCTTCTGACTTGCCTACGTATAATTTTTCAAAAAAAACAGAAAAGGGGCCCCATGTCTTCCCACAGTCTGTCCAGACCCCTAAGGCCAAATGGAGATACAAACTAGCCAGTTGAAAGGAACCTATGAGCACAAATAAATGTGCTGCTGTATGGTGGATCGTGAAAAGCTCAAAAATGTTTTACAGGCCTCTCTCTTTCCCTCCCTCTCCCTCCCTACACCTCTCTTTCCTTCCCTCCCTCTCCCTTCCTACCCCCTCTCTCTCCTCTTTCCCTCCCTCCCTTTCCCTTCCTACCCCCTCTCTCCCCCCCTCTCTTTCTCCCACTCCCTCTCCTTCTCCTCCCCCCTCTCTCTCAGCCACTCTCCCTCCCTCTCTTTTGGTCTTGGGGCTTGAACTCAGAGCCTGGGTGCTGTCCCTGA